AGTATCAACCAGGGAGGCTCTGATAGATGCAGAGCCAGCCATTTCTGCGACGGAGACAAGGACACCCTGGCACTGGGGTGTGCCAGACCATGGAGGGCTAGGAGAGCTCTCCCTGCAGTGCATGTGGGGGCTCTGTGGGCAGGTGAGCTCCCAGGACAGCTCGTCTCCCTGCCCTCCCGTGCCACCACGCTCCGGGGTCCCACAAAACAGCGATTCCTCAGCTGTCTGCACTGGGCAGCCAACACAAAGGCAGGATGTCAGGGTGATGGGCTCGCAGGGCTACATCCCATTAGTGAAAGGCTTTTCTGCTCACCCTGATGCACCAAAACACCATCCCCAGAGCCGGAATGAACCAGGATGCTCACTGCAGCCACCAAACTGAATCCCCGAGCACGGCATCCACTGTCAGACCCACCAACCATGCTGCACACCCACGACACCACTCCAAACACCAGCCTACTCTGCACGGGGGGAAGATGCCAGAAAGCGGTGGGGCCTCGAAGGAGCTTTGGGAGCAGCTGGGGCTGGGCAGGGAGGAGCAGCACAGGACAAAGTCCAGTGTAGGTATCAAGGTGCATGGAGCAGAGCCCAGCTTTGCCAGAGCCCAGTCCCACTTCGTCTGGTAGACCCTGAGGTTTTTCAGGCTCTGTCTGCCTTCATCCATGGGGATGCTGAAGAGCTGGCCTGGTCCCCTGTGCCAGGGAAGAGCCGTGCAAGGGCTCATGGAGAGCAGCAACTGGGAAGAGGGAGAAGGGGACGGCGGCCACCCAGCCCTTACCTCTGCTGAAGATGATGCTCTCGTAGGGGATCTTGTTCTTGGTCTCGAGGCTGGAGCAGTTCCAGCGCTGGTCCCGGAACTGGTGCTGGCACTCGTGGATGGCGATCTGGATGCCCTGGATGGCCGAGGCGGTGACGTCAGGGTGGCGCACGCACACCTCCAGCTGCCGCCGCGTCAGCCCGGGCAGGGTCAGGCAGACTGTGTTGGCATTCAGCACCGGCTCCGATGGCAGCTTCAGGCCCAGGATCTCATTGGAGCAGGAGCTGGGAGGGAAAGGGAAACCCGTGAGCTCAGAGCAAGCAACGCGCCCACCGCTCGCTTCCCCTTCGGGAGGGGGTGGGGGGGGAGAACTTGTGGGGAGGCACACATGGGGAGGGGAGATGTTCCTCAACCCACATTGTGCCCGCTGCCAATAGAGAAGGCTGGGAACCCCCTGGGCACATTGACAGCTCAGTCAGGCAGAGATGTCCCACCGGCACGGGGGCTGCAATCCTCTCCGGCCATGCCAGCACAGCCCAGACACCCCGGCAGCCTTGCCCAGTGCCAGCCAAATTTGGCCCTCCTGCCTCTGGAGCCCAGCATCTCCTGGGGCTGCACCCCCTCTGAGCGCTCCCCCAGGGATCTCCCGCCCTGGAAACACAGTGCAGGCTCTCGGATGCAGACTGACCCAGCTCACTTCCCCCAGAGAGTGTGAGTTTCCCCCTTGCAGAACCCTGGAGCAGGAGACCCATCCCAGGTCTGGCTCCATCCCTGTTGCTGGCTGATCCCCTCCCTGCATGTCCCCTATCCCCTTGGCACTGCTTGTTCCTCACAGCAGAGATAACCAGAGGGACCAGCCTTTTTCTGCCAG